GGGTAATTGTCCGGTGGGTAATTGTCCTGGTGGGTAATTGTCCTGGTGGGTAATTGTCCGGTGGGTAATTGTCCTGGTGGGTAATTGTTCTGGTGGGTAATTGTTCTGGTGGGTAATTGTCCGGGTGGGTAATCTTCCGGGTGGGTAATTGTCCTGATAGGTAATTGTCCGGGGGGTAATTGTCCGGTGGGTAATTGTCCAGAGGGTAGTTGTCCTAGAATCAACAAATATGACTCTTTGGCGCCATCTAGTGTGAAAAATAGCCATAATATTATTTTAACATGAAATTTCACAGTGTCATTGGACGGTAGCGCCGCCAGCGAAAGAGCGGTCAATTTTGAAACGAGTTCGGAGTTTCAAAATGACAGATTTTTGTGATCATGAAATGTCGAAAACGTATGGTTACGTTTACGACTTATATAAGGCTAATGAGATCGTCAATGAATGGGAGTTGAAAACGAACTCGTCATTTATACTCCCTGGAAAATGAGTAAAAATTTCGGCAACATAGGTGAGTAGGAGTATACTCAGTAGTCAGGTAAAATATAAGCTAGGCTTCTGTGGTGTGTGTGTGGGCCGAGGCTATTCGCCCGACCGTCGGGTGTGTATGTTCACTATGTTGCTACTGTCTATTCGCCCGACCGTCGGCAAATGCGTAAAATCTCTAGGGCTATCCCAGAAACCACCGCAGCCTACGCCCTACTCCCTAACCCTAACCATAACCCTAACCCTAACCCTAACCCTAACCCTAACCCTTTCAACAATATTCAATAGATTATCGCTAATAACCGCTGAGCCTACACAACGAACAATAACATGATAACAATGGAACTATGGACCGTTGGGTCTATAGAGAACGGTTTCTTATACACCCGACCGTCGGGCCAATAGTCACTTCCGTGTGTGTGTGTGCATGTGCGCGGGCGTGCGCGCGCGTGTGTGTGTGTGTGTGTGTGGGAGCGTGCGTGCGTGTGGTACATGAAAGTACGCCAATAAACTTCGGTCTGTCTGGTTATCAAATAAATTGTGTGTGTGTGTGGGGGGGGGGTAACTAAAGGTATGACAAACATATGCATCAGGAGTAGATAAAGGGAAGGAGTGTGACTTCAATAAACAAGGGAAATTCGTCATTTACTAGCCTTATAATACCTACGATTTACTACGCGTAACTCATCCAACTTGAGCTCAAATCGGACACAGTACATTCGCCCATCATCGTACGAAATCGTATCCTCGTATACACGGTACACCCGCAATCCGGAGATAAAGATTGAAACGTACGACACGATTCTCTATTCTCTGGCCATTAATCAAGCGCAGAGCGCGCCCATATTCAGACAAAAGGCAGCTACTAACCACACTGTCCACGGCTTGCGCTGACGGCGAGGCGCTGTGGCTCGCAGGGTGATTTGAATCCGATCTGCTGCTGATAGCGGATTAGCGTGCGTGCGTGGTATGGGGGCATGCCAGCTGTATTGCCGGCATGCAGGTATGACAGACATAAGGCATACATTGTAGCTGTGTACCGGGTCAAAGGTTATCTCGCCGAGTGTTGCGTTGATGCCTAATCACCCTGCGAGCCACAGCGCCTCGCCGTGAGCGCAAGCCGTGGACAGTGTGGTTAGTAGCTGCCTTTTGTTTGAATTATAGGCGCGCAATAGGCTTGGATTGATGGCGAAAGAATGGAGAATCGTGTCGGACGTTTTAGGCTGTATCTCCGGATTGCGGGTGTCTACGAGGAAACGAATTCGTACGATGATGGGCGAATGTACTGTGTCCGATTTGAGCTCAAGTTGGATGAGTTACGCGTAGTAAATCGTAGGTATTATAAGGCTAGTAAATGACGAATTTCCCTTGTTTATTGAAGTCACACTCCTTCCCTTTATCTACTCCTGATATGCATCAATCCCACAAGTTTTAATACTACTAAAAATCTATTGTTTTTAGACCCTACAGCCAAAACTCATAAGATCATGTGTGAAGACAGTAAGCTGAAGTATGATATGGAATTCCATACATTTTCCTGGGTGTCAAGATTATGGATTGTCGTAATGGGAAAGATCGGAAGGAGGCATTTAAGCAGAAGAGGAGGGCAGATCAGCATGTAAAATATGATTTGATTCAAATAATAGGGAATCAATAACAACATTTAACTGTAATAATTAAATATTAATAATTAAAATTTGATATATTACATTAGAAGTAGATAATAGGCAATTCCCAATTATCTACTCCTGATTACATGCAATTTTCTTTAAGGCTGGTCCGGGAGAACACTGTTATGATAAAAGAACCAAGATGATGGTACAGGACACTAAGAAAATGGGTTGTCCTGCACAGCTTGTTTTCCGGGAGATAATGAAATTTCCACAGTTCAATGTATTAAATATTTGAAAATAATGTGATATGGGACTGGTCAGAAATCAGGCAGGGAGCAAGGAGGTGTCAAAATTAGTCCACAATAAGGAGAAGAATGCGCATATTTTGGGGTCTATGACCTACTGTAGGTAGGGGAGCTCCCTGCTCAGATTTCTGACCAGTCCATATAATATTATCAGGAGTGTATCAAACTCCATGATACACTCCTGATATTATGTAGAGTAAATTAAGTTAGTAAATCTCTGACATAACTATAAGGTACCATTCAGCTTTTAGCATGGCCCCCCTCAAACTCCCCCCTCCAAAAAAAAAATTGGTGCTCCTGCTACATAAATTAACAGTCCCTAAATAGTAACAAGTGCTGCAGTGCGACAGGGCTTATCTGGTGTCTTGTGTTCTGCTGATAAATTCATTTGTGCATAGCAAGAAGTCTTATACATAAGTCTTCTTTATTCTTGTTTGACTTTCGTAGCCAATTGGAACAAATATATCAGCTACACTTTCGCACCCACCTAATCTCTATGCATTGCAGACACATGTGCATTGCAGGTTGGCAGGCAACAATTATGATTAGAAGCGTGCCAGCCATGGGCTCCCCGTGTTTTTGCCTCGCCACACGAGCATTCACTGATTCAGCCTTCAGGGTGCTATACCGACTGCTTTAGAAAATAATATGATTTAAGGAGCGTAAACCTTGTTCAACAAACATTTGCCTTTGCAATTAAACTGCATGTGCAACTATAGCCTCACATTCACACAGGTATTCCTCTCATCTATGCTCGGCTGAATTGATCCACCTGAGCGATATACCTGCTCGTTGTCATGGCAATGCGTAGACAGAAGGTGTTAGCGGTCGATACGCCTCTGCGGAAGGCTGCGGACATGACTGACATTATATGCCGACTCCTGCATCCTCCTCCTCCTCCTCCTCCTCCTCCTCCTCCTCCTCCTCCTCCTCCTCCTCCTCCACCTCCTCCTGAAGATAACGTAACGGCCAGCTGATTTCCGCGGGTAACGCCGGTATCCCGCTAGTATATATATATAATATAATAATATATATATATAGATATATATATATAATATATATATATATATGTACACCACCACGAGAGTAAATTACAGGCGTGTTTTTGCGATTGTAAAATGTTTTTAGTTTGATTATCTGTGCTGTGAGCTGAAGCGGCGCTGACGACGACAATGACGCTCGGGCTGTAGAACGTAGTCCGCTAATCGTTGTCTATACATGCGTCGGCCGATCAACGAAACCGCTCGCGGATCTATTCGCCAAAGTAGTATTTAGCCCGAATCTGTCGTCCGTTCAAACGAGACAGCGCTTCTGTCCGCGTATTGTCCCCGCTGTTTGACCATATTTCGATTGCAGCATTGTTCAACAATGACCTATTATCCTGCCCCCGTTGCAGGGCTTGCCCACTCCTGGTGAATTTCACCAGATCTAGTGAAATGTCCCATTGCTGTGACCTGGTGAAG